GGTGTACCTATAAACGTTAAGTATGCCTATTTTCCCTCAACACAGAGCCTTTTGAGAATCTAAGTATATTTAATATACTGTATGTGTATTTAACAGCATTAAGTTGTTTATGAAGGGCTTGCACTACCTGCTTTTTTTCACCTTTATACACGCAAGTTATGCCATGCATAACCACGATGGTTACAGATAATTCACCATCCACCTCTTAACCTTCTGTCCTCTTAAGGGCGGTGAGTACCAATAATTATGTAACTGTTTAATATATTGAATATAAAATGTAATTCACATGTGTACACTGTAACAAAATTCTGTAAGACAACAGTGAAATTGTTACAGTAACGCACTGTTTACCATTAAAATGCTACAATACTATAGAAAGAAATGCATTCTGGGCAGTATTTATGGGCAGCTTGCAGTTTCCCATAAAATACTGCAATGTACTGTGAATGGCGTTGCAGTTCTTTTAGAATCATCTGCAGAGGGGCCTCGCAAGTACAGAAGTGAAGGGAAGCCACGCTGAACACAAAGTGCTGAAGGCAACTGGACTTTATTTCCGAGGATTGTCCATCTGAATGCTGTACTTCAGCAGCAAATGATAAGGTAAATCATGAAATACGTTTTACCTGTCTGGCAATGTTTGTTTACTGTCTACCTTTAAACAAACTCTGACTGATCAGTAACACATAGCTTGCAGCTCTCTCATGCGGCGGCCTTAACTTGCCATGCTGGGACTGGTCAGTACAGCAGTCACATGAACTATTTTAATGTTAATTTGTAGGTAAGGCTGATTTCTGAACAGTACAAAGAAGTCAGTCATATTGGTGTCTTATTGGTGTTTGATCGGTTGATTTGTGGCTACAAGCATTATTGTGCTTTGGGAGTTTTTCCTCTGTTTTCTGTGCATTTTCACCTAAATCGGAAACATAGTTGCCGCTTACATTAAAAAACTAACTGTAGTAGAGTTAAAGCAAACTTCTAAATGTAAGTTTGGAAAATATTGAAAGTGACACCAAAGGTACAACTGGCAGGTTTTCCAACAAGCAAGCATTGCTGAAACTCGCTACAACTTACAGTACAGTTTGTTTGACGCTAAAGTTATATTAATGTTAGTGTTAGTAGCGTTAACGGCTGATGTTAGCTCACAGACAGCTGGGTAATGACACAATAAGGCTGCTTGAACTGCTCAGGTCTTTCCTTTCACGTTCGGAGTGAATGTCTACATCGGTGCTAATCAAACTAACATTAATGTACAATCATGGATGAGAAATTTGTCATCTTCAGTTAGTGTTGAGGAAGCTACTCACAAAAATAATCCATTACAAACAGGTGGAAAGTTCAGGTCCAGGAAGTAAAAATCCAGACCAAGGTTTTGTGTCAACTAACCAGTTGAGTATAAAGAGTCACAGGGTAATCAAACAGTTGGGTGAAACAAAACCTTGGTCTGCATCTACAACTTTCCACCTCTGTCTTTAATGAAATACTTTTGTGAGTAACTTCCCTAACACTTTATAGTTAGTGTTTTAATCAGCCTTTGTGAGAGGGCTTGCTGCTCTGTTTTCAGTGTTCTACATCTTTAACCTACAGTACCAACAGGAGACTGACTGTACACTTCATTCAAAGGTAAGACATGTGTTGCTCAATTGTCCTTCTCTCCCTCTCGCTCTCCCTCTGTCTTCAAATTCACCATGTGCAATTTAGAATAATACAAGAATGATATGGGATTATATATTTAATAATTCCTCATCATGAATGCATGAATTTATTTTGGATTTTATTTTATGGAAGAAAATGTTATTGGAGAAATGTTTCATCATGAAAAAACAAGCTGACAAACTAGCAATAGAATAGAAAAAAGATCCTATTCTCCATAAATATACTTATACAAATGTTAGCTAGATAAGATCCAGCAGGGTCTGAAAATGTGAATGTTACCAAGATATTGAGAGGAACAGAAATGGTAAAAAGTGAATACCTTTCCAGTTTGATTTTCTGGTCATTAACATTAAAAGAAATATATTCTTTGCTAATGTCTACCTCTAATACTGTTGTCATTGTAAGATGAAATTATATTCATGAATTCATGTTTTAGCCAGTTTGATTTTAAATGTTTTGCATTTTGCAAAATGACAAAGTAGCCCCATGGATAAAAGGCAATTATAGCTTTAGTTACACATAAAAAAGAAGTTTATCGAAGATGAATACACTTTTTTTAACTCCGGAAAGTGCACTTTCATGTTACTGTTATTCGTGCAATTTTAAACTATGATCCGCATTTTATATTTTCAGATTTTTTGGAACTAAATCCAAGTTTTATTTAGTTTTTGACCAAATAGTTGAAAGACTTGCCATCTGCTACAAAAGTCATAGAAATGATGATTATGTCACAATAATGTCTGGGTGGAAAGCTGCCTTTGTTCTTCCAGAGCAAACATTAAAGCAACCACATAGTATACAACACAGAACTTTTATCAATTATAAATAACATGATTTCCCAAAACTCCACTATTTTATAAAACTTCCAGCACACCACAAAACTTCACATTTGCAACTTTCTTTTCGTATGACTCGTTGCAGTATGTCTTATAACAATTGTGCAAATTCTTTTTGTGCCACAAGTGGGAATACCTTAACAGCAATTTATGGGTTTTTTGAAACTGTCCATTTGCAGAGCTAAGACAGTCCTTAGAGTGGAGTTGTTAAAGAAACAGCTACAGTCTTAACATGTACATAATGAAGAGAATAACGAGCTTGCAAAAGGATCTATATTCTAAAACAATTCCAGCCTTCAGGTTCTACAGATACCCCTTTATTTTCATTACTTTCACAGACAAGATTAGTTTCAGGATTTCCTTTTGCTATCCAAATACTGTACAAACGACTAAAAATTACTACTTTTGTAGTGCCCTTTTTGTACTGCAAAACTCTCCCATACCAATAATAAAAATGACGACAACAACAACAACAATAATAATAATAATAATAATAATAATAATAATAATAATGATAAAACAAGAGATTATGAATATACTATACTAGTAGAACTGTTTTTTTCTTTGTCCAAACCGATTGTTTTACATTGCACCCACAAGCTGTTCTTTGATCCTAATTAACAATATGGGATTTGCATATATGACATTTTGGATAATTACTGCATGGCCAGATGAACAGTTGACTGCTGTGGCTGTCACAGAGGCTAGTGATCAGAATTAATTTCTGTACCCGGTTTGATCTGTACGATAACTTAGGATGTCACCCTTTCCATTATTTCAGGGAAAAAAAAGACAATTTACATATTCAACAATATTGTTACAATATGTGCAGTTTCGAATATCATGCTGTGTTTTGAAAGATAGTTCAATGGAAACCATTTAAACAGAGACTTAACGCGCTTCAACAACGATCAACAAATGCAGTATTCTCCTTTCATTCAAAGTGAATACTGGGAACATTGGTATTCACTGTAGTAGGCCCAATACCTTAAGCAGCTCATTTTTACATTCCTGTATTAGACACCAGTGGGGGCAGGTGCATAAAAAAATGTAGGAGGTAAGAAGATACATTATACAACATAACAGCAGTGATTTTTTGCAAAGAAGAGAGACATGTGTTTTTAAATTGCAATAATATTTTAGCAATGACTTGTTTCAAAGTTACTTGTTTTAGTTTAATCCCAAAAACTACTTCCTCTACGTTTATGGACCAACAACTGTGGCAGACACCGTTCTTTCGACTACCATTATGCTAATAGGATTCAAGCGCTTTTTAGTTAGACTACTACCATGGTTGCATGATGACTCTTTATAAAATAACAACCTTATAAGGTTTCAAGAACGTGACAGTGATTAACAGGCGACCAGAGCAGCACAGGTTCTTCCCGAGCCCGGAAGCACGTGCTCGTTAATTAACTGCAGACATCCTATAGGCAGCATTAGCGAAGGCTATAGACCCACCGTCAATGGGCATGCCAGGCTCTAGTGCACTTCTGAAATGTGACACCATCAAGGCCCGACAAACATGCAACAAAATGTCAGAGCAGAGACGTGGACCAAATACAAATAAATTTGTAAGCCCAGCAACAATGCAAATCTTTTCTGTACACCTCCCTGGAAGACCTGCGTATCTGACAAGCTACCGTATCCATTAGGGCTATTAGAGAGTACACAGCAAGACATTGTGATTTGGGATATGTGTGAGAGTATCCATAAATAAGGAACTGCGTACATATGTCTAAAGAAATGCCAGGAATTATGGTTTAATTCCTAAACACTGTGATTTGAGATGTGCTAACCTCTCGTTCTTTGATCGCAGATCAACTTTGTTTGATCTAAGATCTGAGAATGACACCGTATTCAAATTTAACAAAAGCAATCTCTCATAAACACAAATCAGAACTGTCCTTAATAATGCTTCTGTCCTCATCAAAACCTTTGCATTGTTGACTTAAATGGCACTGTGCTTTGGCTAAAGAAAACAATCCAAGGACTTTTTACAAATATATTTAAATACGACGATTATCACGTCAAGAAAGGCCAAATAAAACGTGTTTACAGGAGTACACATTCACCAAATTCAGAAAATCTAACCTGGATACAGGTGTAGACTAATTAAGAAATAGGTGGATTTTTTTTTTTTCAGGTATACCTTCAATTAATCCTACTGAAAAATTAAGTTTAGAAAATCAGGAGGCCTACAACTCACCATAGCCTCTTGAAATGATCCACTGTTTGACAATACAAAACACCTAATTCATCCTGTTACATTCATCAGCACTTTCATCGTCCGTTACTCTCTAGTGCTCGGAGCACCAGCAGCTTCTTTAAGTTGCAACCGCAGGTAATACGTAAGAAAATAACCTCGCATATTTTGTAGATGCAGAGCACGTCGTGGTTGTACTGCGGGACGGTTTTTTTTAACTTTGTTTTCGTTTCAGTAAACCCTGCCAAAACGCATGCAGCTAACAGCTGTTAGGCTACCGAACAAGTACAGTGCCAGCATCTTACCTTACAGTCCTCCGTACGTGATTTGACTGAATAATCCTCTGATAAATACTTGAGAAAGAAGAGGTCAAACTCTTCATATTTTTCCTGAGCGTGTTGGTCCAGCCTCATGTACGCCTGGATGCAGGTGCTGCAGACATCCATGTCGTCCCCAGTGCTTTTACCCAAATCCCATATCAGGTTCTGGAGACTGCAATTCAAACTGTCTGGGCTTTCCATCCCCAAAAGTAGGTCGGAGATCGTGTAGGAATCACAAAAGGAAAGGCTGAAATTCCTAAAATAAGCCAGGAGTAACAGTGACGATAAAGAGGATGCGCTGGGAAATGAAGATCCGCTGTCTTCTGCTTTCTGTAAATGTAGTATCGTGCAGGCTGACTCCAAATTTTGATGAGTTTGAGCATCAGTGCATTGAGAACTTGGAGCAGCAGGTTTGGTCGAATTGCTTAAAAAAATGTCACACTTGCCTACTAGGTGGTCCCCGTCTGTTGCATTGCTCTGGGCTTGGCGATCGCCTGTATCCCTGGACCTCAGCTTAACCCCAGCACACAACCAGAGGTGATCAGACAGGAGGACAGTGAAAAATAAAAGAGATGCCAAAGACATTCGCCATTTCTGTGCCCTTTCGGAATCGGCGCAGGGTTTGTCGTTTTGCTCGGGTGCACAACTAATTTTCAGCAGGGCATCATCTTGTCTTCGATACATCCAAACACCTTTGATCATATTTTAGGGGAGACAAAAGCGATCCCCGGTTTGTTTTCTCCTCGCCAATTTCCCCCCCAAAAAACAATGTCACCTACCTTCTTTGCAGCATTGTGATGGGCAGCATTTCCCTCTGTGCTGAAATAAAATATCAATCCACTTCGCCCACCACTGCCTTCTATTTTTCAGGACAATCCATCGCTAAGAAAAAAAAATCCCGAAAAAAAATCTTTCCTATACATCCATTATTACAGCAGGTTGGAAATGGCACTCCGCACCGCCGAAGCCTCATGAGCAGCCTTACATTAACGCAGAACGAGTTTTAAAATTGTCATCTCTGACCACGGTTTTGTTCCCTATAATTTTTTCTTCCGTTTCTGGTTCAAAATGCTGTACTTGCTCCTCATCGTCCTGACTTTCTCCCCTTTTCCGCTACCCCTTTCAGTCTGTCGCCATCTTCGGCTTTGCAGAGAAACACCTTGAGAAATTGATTACATTGGAAGAGCGGACAGGCGAAGGATGGGGGAGGACGCGCGCTCTCGCCTCGCCTCCCTCCTCGAGCCCGGTGCCCCCTATTTCCCTTACCCATTCACGCTGCATTCATTCATTCCCCATCTACCCTTTCATTCATCATTTTGCCGGGTGCACCCCTGTTTGTTTGGAGACTTTGGAAACGACAGATGTCTCCTGATGCAGATCAGAACTGAATCGTTTCTTCTGCAATGTTCAGCTTGTCCAAAAGGGTTCAGCATCGCTGCCTTTTTTTTTAACCGGCATCACCTCGTAGATGGTATACAGACAAAAAAAAATGACGTTATTTATGGTATACAAATTGTTAGCGATCCATGTGCGTGTCCCCTTAATACCTAGGCGCCCAGGCGGTGGCTATATTGTAAGAACAAGTTATTCATTGTTTTAGTAATCATGATTTTGACTCACTAAGTAGTATGACGTTCTAAACTGGAAAACTTAAGTCGAATAGACAGGCTATATATACTGTGTCAGAGTAATGCACCATGACTATTGAACATACAACACAAAAATGGACATGGATAGAAAATATCAAGAATACATGGAGTGTGGGTATAAAATATTATGACGCATGCTAGGATAAGTGATATTACGTGCACCCATATGATAATATATACACACATAGTATGGGTGTACATGATAATAAATATCTTAAAGTCATTTGCAGTTGCTATATTTCACGTTGGGGTTAGGGTTTCATTTGGTCTGGACTGTGTTTCTAGCTGCACTTGGCCAGAAATCGTTAAATTGGCTTCTTGAGTTGGATCTGTCCTCGTATTATCACACCAGTTTTATGCACACCTACCACGCCAAACGTTATGCGTTAGTATGCTAAAGCTGCATATTCTAATATTAGACTCCACTGGATCATAATGATTCTGCCAAATGACTATGTGCCGGTAGATCACAATGCCTTATATGTGACCAATATATTATATGTTTTACTAAAACCATATTCATGAAAAATAAAATTGAAGGGGTGCGGTTTGTTCTTGTTTGGCTGTTTCTCAGAGAAGGCCTGGCAGTGGAATATATTCGTCCAAGCGATTTCTTCCTAGTAATAAGACATCTGTTCCCTAGCACTGACATCTATAGGCAAGATAATAGAGGCTCCAACATTGATCCCTCATTTTAATTATTGTCTTTTAGTCCTTTGTCAGTGTTTAATCAGCAATGAGTCTAGCTTGTTTCACTACATACATATGCTCGAAAATTAGGGGACAGTGTTAATCAGAGCTGACTTTAAATGAGAATGAGACCATCTGATTTACATTTTTTAAGTCTTGTTTGAAATGAGCTTTATTGCAGGTAAATAAATATTTAAAGCCATGTTAAGGATGCTCTTTCGCATTTATGGATTTTGAAAAGAATTTTAGAGTATAACCAGAAATACAGAGAAAATTAAGGCAATGTGGTAATGTATGTATTACCTTGTGGTGTATATTACTTTGTGGGAACCAAATGTCCCCACAATGTGATAAAAACCTGTTATTTTGACGTTTTGGCATGGATATAAATTATGGGGGGATGTGGGGTTTTTAACCCTCAAATAATCAGAACCAGCCAATATAACCCCCCTCCCCAAATGATCATATCTTCATGATAAATGTCAGGGGTCCTCGACCTCCCCGGTGTTTAATCCAAAGTTACATCCCTTGCGTTGTGGGCACAATTTTATAAAAATCTGTGACTGAGATCAAAAAACTAAAAATGCCAAAAGACGTGTATTTTGTTTGGTTACTTATGGTTAAGGTTAGGGCTGGTTAGGGGTTAAGGTTGTCATTGTTGGAATTAGAGATTTGTCCATAAAAATTAACAGACAGTCCCCACAAAGATATGAATACAAACATCTGTGTGTGCGTGTGTGTCCCCATAACTTTTACTTCTAGATATTTCTATGCAAACATTTCTTAGCATTTTTGAATAAACTCATTTCCCCTATTTTGTATGACCATGAAGAGGCAATTGGCTGACAGGTGTCAGATGTCATTTCTGTGCCTTGACTGTGAACATCAAAAAAGACTACAATTCTTTAGTTTTAGCTGAAATCTTTGGTTTTGGAAATTTTAAGTATACTTGCCAAAGGTGCAATATTGCTAAGAAAAGCATTCAAATTCAGTTTTAAAATGTTGTTGTCTGGGGACCCTGCCAGACTGGTGAAAGAAGAGAAATAGCCTTTAGCACTGTTGCAGAATATTGTGCGCTAAACGTTGAATCCCACCATACTGTATGTAAACTTAACAGAATCAATGAATAAAACAATTGCTCAAGGGCTTGTGTATGTTCTTTCCTGTTCTTGCCTACTGAATTTTTTAACCACAGGAGCGTTTTCTAAGACCAGCTTGAAAATTATAATGTGTCACAGCTGTGGTACATTACTCAGAGTTTATTGATTAGCTAGCCGGTAGTAGCATTTGTACAAAATCTGAAATTCAAAAGAAATGGCTTATAGCTAACTAAACATCTAACTAAACTAACTAAATAATTTGACAGGAGGCACATTTCACATGTTTATGTCTCAAAAAGCCACAAAACTGCTAACTATTGTTGGCTAAGAAAATCCGACAACCATAAAAATGTCTAACTAGCCCAATCTATATCTTTACATTTAGCTTGTAAACAATCAATCCCTGTCCTTCAATCTGTCCACTTAATACCTGTATAAACTGAATAAAAAAAAACTTAATATGAGTTTTATATTTTAAAACCTGAATGAAAAGCATTTACTGTTTTCAGGAATTATATTATTACTTATTTTGAAACTCACATTCATTTAATCTTGCCATTAATCTCATTCCAGTTGGAGAATATGGGAAATTTTTTTCATGTACTACATTTAACCACATTCCTGTTGTTTACAAACTAATTTTTTTTCCTGTTCCACAATACATTTTTTTCAATCATATGTAAAGCTGGAGAAGTTTAAAATGCATCATATCACTGTGTTAACATCTATACATCATGGTAGACATTTCAAACTAATTTCATGGGGTATGTTTTCATATATATCAGAAATTGCCATGTGATTTCCTTGAAAATCCCGTGAAGTATGAAATATTATTGTTGTTAAATTAATGGTGGCTGATGAACTGACATAGAACGTAAATAGAATATCATAAATTTTGTAAATTAACATGTATCATCAAACAAAACTTTGCCAATGACAACAAAAATTCTCCAATGACACTGATGCAGGAAAAAAAAATGTGTTAGAGGTTTTTCTTTTTTTTTGATGCCTGGTTTTCGCTTAAAAGCAGGTTTCTCGTATATTTACGTTACTGATTGCCAAGACTGTTCCAGTTGGGTGATAATTTAAACATGGGTTACCCAGCTTGTGTCCTGAAAGGCACAAGGGATTCAGTAGAGAACCCTCAATAAAAACATTAAAACTGCCACAGTTCGTTGTTCAGTTCCTCGTACACCAGTCAAATGTTTTTGCACACGCTAAGATTTTCTACATTAGCGTGTTACTCACTTAACATTTACTAAAAACATATTCAATATTCTTTTCAAACAAATAAATTTACAGTATGTTCACTATTTGAGTACCTTTATTAGCAAGAAAATGTCATATCTTTGATTCATCAAAGTAACCTCTTCTTATGTTATAACAGCAGAGCAAATTTGAGGCATTCTTTTCACAAGGGACATTAAATGCTGCTGTTTCATAGAATGAAACAGTTAATTGGTGCATTTAAAGTTAAAGGAAAGCCTAGAATTTGACTATGTCATCACCACATAACCAGTTAACAATATGTCAGACACCGTTACATGTTATAAAGGAAAATTTAAGTTTTATTTGACTTATATTTTCATTTATAGTTGTTCACTCAACTTTCCAATTCTTAACAAGAATAAAAAATCTGCAGTTTTTGAAATGGAAAAGTGGAAAAAAGCTGTGATGTTCAAAAACTTTTAACTGGTGGTGTATGAGTATGCCGGTAGTGTATGAGTATGCTGGTAGTGTATGAGTATGCCGGTAGTGTATGTACATGTACTCTTTCAGTGGCATCATAGTATTTAGGCAACTGATTAAGTGAATTGTTTCTTAGACTGAGTTGTTTGAACCTTTTCATTCCTTCTCTGTACTACATTGTATAAAGAATGAGAAGGTGAGGAACTATATGGACACTATAATCTAAAGGGGTGTCCTACTCTGGCCCTTGAGGGCCATAGATTAAACTGATTTATTGTAGCACCCCAGTTTGTAATGACTTTTTATCCATCTGTCTTCTAACCACTTGTCCTGGTCAGGGTCTAAGGTGGGGGTTTGGGGTCTATCCCAGGCTAGAGCGGGGGTCAAGGCTGGGGCACAGACCACACAGACACCCAGCTTTTTATCTATAGCAAAAAGTCATGGGTCATAATTTTTTACGATCCATTTAATTTCATTTTTACCTCTCGTTCATTTGTTTGGGGCGTGCTTTTTTCCAAAGCAGACAAAGTCAGTGCAGATCAAAACAAACAAGCCCGTTAAAAAAACAACACAAAATCAGTGAAGTGGTCTCAGTAAACTCAAACTGTATAAGATCATATTCACAGACAGCATGCAAAGAGACACAAAGGGGCATGGTCCATGCATTAGAATATTGCGATGGATTTAAAGTATATAAAAATTCACACAGGGACTAGAGGGGAATTTCCATGAGTGGCAATGACATAAGATTCCTTTAATGCAGTCAGTAGGCAATCAAGAATTTAGAGATGAGGTGCAGTTTAAAAGGTGAGTTTTAAATCTTTTCTTAAAGAGAGAGAGAAATTATCCAGTCCAAAACCCAGGAGGATGCTTGTTCAACCACATTGGGGCAGAGGTCAAAAACAGATGGATTTCCATTCCATCCTTTTAAATGTAAAATTGTCCGCTGACCTGATGTAAAGGGCTGCAGTGACCTTGTAGAGGATGTTGGCTGTGATTAAATTTGGTAGGTCCTGCAGAGCTGCTCCCTCGGCAACCTCATATTCCAGGACTAAGTTCCTACAAGCTCCGGCTGGTAGCCAATGGAGGAGCATCAGGAGAGGACAGATGTGACCTTTTTGGGAGAGGTCGAACATATCTCATGCAGCATCGCTCTGGATGAGTCGGGGCTGTTTGACAGAGCATGCTGAAAGCCTGGCAGGGGGCTTCTGGAGTAGTTTAGATGAAATATGACAAAGGTCTGGCCTAGAAGATGA